CTGCTGCTAGGTTTCTGGGCCTGTGGGGAGCCCAGCAGGCCAGGTACTGTGGCCTTGTATGTTGCACTAAATTTAGGTAAGAGGTGGGGGTGAATAGAATTGAAATGAACATTCAGAGTAATCCGGTTTGAAATCTATTCCTACAGCATTTTATACCAACAAATGAGTCCCCCATTGGGCATGATTTTACAGAGAAGGGTGGGTCAAGCTGTACAGACTGAGATCTGGATATGGATGTTTCAAAACAACATTGTACAAGATGAACATTCACTCCCTGTGTGAATGTGGTGTTCAATAATCATAATAGCACTTAATTGAAAGTTGCAATCTTTACAAGTGCTCAGATGGGGGTAGATGAAATCTGCACACTGAGCGATAATACCAGACAGTGACTCGTAGCTGGCCATAGGGAATGGGAAGGGGCTTAGAAATAGTGGTTTTTCTGACTCTTGTCAGTGACAGCTTAGGGGCAAAGTCAGCCCAGCACTCAGGCAGACCACATGAGCTCTGTCCAAGGCTACACCACCACCCTGGGCAGGGAGGAAGGAGGATGAGCAGGATGTCGTAAAGCCCTATGGGTTGCCACTGCAATGCAACCTACCATGAGTCGCAATGAGATCTGGCACGGATGTTCATAATGGTACTGTAACTTACAGCACTGAAGTCTGATACCACATACATCCAGGGTTATCTTCAAACATGATCTGTAATTTTTACAGTGCTCTATGTGCTGTGACTGTCTGTTCAGTTATGGCTGGAGAGTAGGCCTGTGTGAAACATCACTGCTTTGTTTCAATTTCTGTTTCACCATTTGGAAGGGACAGTGTTTCATTTCATCATTTCATTTTGTTTTGAAGCACTGTTCCTTTTCGTTTCATCAAAATTTTAGCTGTTTTGACGTGTTTCAACGTTTCTACCATAGGCCATAATGGGGAATCAGGAAAATGCCTATAACTTAGTTGCTTCTTGCCTGATTTGGATAAAAATTGCAGGGATGGTAGACCCTTCTGAGGGCATGAAGTTTACAAAGTTTCAAGGAGATAGATATAGGGGTTTCTGGGAAACTGCACCTCAAACTGCTAAAAGCAAAACATATCACTTGCCAGCAGCAGGATCCTCCTGTCATCCCGCATGCAGATCCAGGGGCCCGCACCCCCAGAAAGGCTATGGGGTTGTGCTGGACTCCTCCTGGGGGTGCAGGCCTCTGGATCTGTGTGCAGGATGGCAGGAGACTGCCACTGTCCCCTGGGATTGGTGCTGGGTGCAGCCTGTGCCCAGCGCTGGGAAGACTGGTGCTGCCACTGGCCCCAGGTAGCAGTGGCAGCCTCTTGTCATCCTGCCCACAGATCTGGGGGTCTGAACCCCTTGGAGGGGTCTGGCAGTGCTGAGAGGGTAGGTTGAGCTCTGTGGTACTGGCGGAGCCACTCAGAGCACAGCCCTGGCTCTCCCCACCTCCCGCTGCTGAACTGAGCTCTGTGGGGCTGGTGGAGCTGCTCAGAGCACAGCCCTGACTGTACCCCCCACCCCCAACACCACTGGGCTTCACTCTGAGTGGCTCCACCAGCCCCATGGAGCTGAATCTGATGGTGGGAGCCAAGAGAGAGCCACTGGCCAGGGCTGCACTCGCAGCCAGAGCTGACTCTGAGCAGCTCCACCACTGGCTCTCCGCCACCTCCTGCCATCAGGCTCTTCTCTGTGGGGCTGTGGAGCCTCCAGCCATTGGGCCTGTGCTTGCCAGTGCTGTGCTCAGAGCCAGGGCTGTGCTCCAAGCAGCTCCGCCAGCCCCATGGAGCTCAGCCGGGTGGCGGGAGGCAGCAGGAGAGCTAGTGGTGGAGCCGCTCGGAGCGAGAGGCTCCCCCACCCCAACGCGGTCTGCCACACCACTGGCTAGGGCTGTGCTCAGAGCCAGGGCTGTGCTCACAGTGGCTCCGCCACTGGCTCTCCCACTGCATTCTGCCACCGGGCTGAGCTCCATGGTGCTGGTGGAGCCACTCAGAGCACAGTCCTGGCTCTCCCATGCCTTCTGCCACTGGGATGATTCGAAACTCAAAATGTTTCAAAACTTTTGAAATGTTTTGAGTGCCCTCATTTTGTTTTGAAGCCTTTTGTTTAATTTCAATTTTGCTATTTTGAGCTCGAAGCGCATTAAAACAGCTTCACAATTAAACACCCGTCAAAATTTTGCCCTACTGGAGAGCACTTTCTGCATGCCTGCTACACAATAAGTGTAACTTCTGTACCTGGCCTAAATGACCGGGTACACATTCATAGAGGGGGCAACCTTTGGAATGATCAGGGCTCAAATTCACATCTCCAGAATCAAAGTTAGACACCTTAACTGCACCCCTTCCTAAGTACTGGATCCACGAAGTAAGCTACTGACTGACTCTCAATGACTTCCTGTGAATGTAAGGCAGATATAGCTCTGTGAGCAAAGGGAGCTCTGGGTTCAACAAAGCCTGAATTGCAGTTCTCACTGGATGCATCTACATGTGTCCCCAAGGCACCTTTGTTACTGTGTCATCATTTAGTACTTCCTTTTGGTAGTACTAAATGACAGCACAGTAACAGCCCATACTGCGCTGTGTGCACCACTACATCACCGTACAATGCGCTCCCTCATTATAGTGCATTGCTACAGTGGTATAACTGTGGCATCATGGTTTGTGACCGCCAATGCTACATTGCCATAGCCCATTGCTATGGCGACATAGCATCACATGTAGACACACCCATTATGTTGTTATTCTTTACTTTGTAACAAAGGCAAATCCGAGCAATGAAATGTCTGGATTTTACCCAATGAATATTTCCTCTTTCCATATTAGACTAAGAATATTTCCTCTTCATAGGGCCCAATAGAAATTGTCTCCCCCCACCACCAGCATAAATGACCTTTTGTGACAAGTACAAGGTTTTATGTACCTCTGCCATTGGATGAGAAATGTGCAGGGGGTGGGAATAGTATTGTTGTTTGGTTTCTTTTTTCCCCTTTTTTAAATAAAGAGGGAAGATATTTCAGATTTAAAAACAAAGTTGTAAATTTAAAGCAACCTTTTTCAGTAATGAATTGTCAGTTACTTATTGATTTATTTACCTACACATTCTGTAAACATTTCAGATAAGTGCATCTTGTCACACTGTTTCCCTGCTTGAAGGTAGCATGACAAAAAAAATGTATGCATAAGGTTGCAACAGATGTGCTACTGTGTACACAAAATCTTCCACCGACTCCACCCCTTGACATCCAGAAGTGCTGATAGGGCAGAGGCAGGAAGACCACTGCAGATTTGTTTCACTTGTTCCAGACAGCATTAGCTTATCATTTTTTGTCATTTTTGCCCTTCTGTCTTCCCTGTACCCAAAAGGTCAAAATGTGAAAAGCACTATATAGTGTAAACATCACTGTGAAATAGCTAATTTGCCACAGTGGCAGGGGGTCTCATTGCTGCTACTCTACCTCCTTTTTCTTTCAAACATTTGACAGCACTTCCTCCTCCTGCCACCTCCTGACCTAAATCAGGGACACAACATGTGATCATTTGTTCATCAATTATGTAACATCAGCAGGATAGGGGGAGTTTAGTATTCCTCCCACCACCACTTTTTTTTTTTTTTAAACTATAAACATATAACAAAGAAAAATAGTTTTACATTAAAAAGCCTCCTCTGGGCAGAAAGCATGTGAACAAAAACAAAAAGCAAACAGAAGAGGACTAATGTTTACGTTCTGAATCTTTTGGTATGCGAGTGCCTATTTTCCATGTGCAATAAGAACTCTGTCAAAGTAAAGTCTTCTTGCCAGCTCTCAGCCCTCTAGTGCCTGAGTTTTGTCACATCCACAGTTTTCTTTCTTTTTCTTAAGCTTTTATGTGACCCCCTCGCTCATAATATTCAACACGCTGAGTGTCAGCTGAGTCCAAACAAAGAGACCTTTCTACTCTGGCAGAAATTCGTTAAAGTTTCCAGCACCAGAATTTACGGCAGCTTTCTTTTGAAATGCTTGACATTTCCTCACAATTTCTTAGATATACTTGGTGGGTAAAGTGCGTCATCTTTGTTTGAATTTATCACACATAATAAGCCATTTTCTCCCAGTTTAATGTCATCCCCTCGGTAACCAGGAGGTCAGAGGCAACAACGCAAAAACAGCAAATTTGTCAATGGAATGTGTAAAGCTTAGTATAAATTTATCTTGTCCTAATCCCTGGGCCCCTTTTCATACCATGATTTTTCATATGCATATGAGAATTTTCAGAGTATTGGTTTCTCACACATTTCACTGCCCATGGACAGAACTGAAATGCAGGCTGAGCTGTCAACTTCCATCAAGGCAAATTAAAAAAAAAAAAAAAACCTTCCATACAGTAAACTCTACTTTGCCCTCTTGACTCCTCATCTCTCTGAAACTGAACAGTGTTCCTTCTGCATTTTTAATTTGTGAAGAGTTCAAATAGATTCTCTTTGGAAATGAAATAAAACAAAAGCAATGAACAGCTTTTTACTGATAAGTCAATTTCACTCAGTCCTACAAAACCTATTTCCTAATTTACAAAAAAACCCCAAAACCCACAAAATTAGTCTGTGGTTCAACTTACGCAAGAAAAAACTTCAGATGGCAGCAAAACTCACAAAATCTTTTTCTTATTTTGTGGGCATCCTGGCTCTGTGCCTGGACCTTACTTGGGAATTTCAAAGGACCATTGGGAGGTTACCTAACTATTTATTGTTAAAATTACCTTGAGTCTTCAAGTCTTTTTTTTTTTTTCATTTCAAAACAGGAAGTGGTCCATACAGATGTTGAAGGGATAAAAGACTAAAAGTAAGATTTAGAACAATGTATACTAACGATATTCAGTGGAACAAGGAGCTACAGTGAGATCTACTAACCAATATTTCATGTTAAAGGGATACTGTGATGTCATCCAGGCTGCAAATTTAGGTTTTGTTTAAAAGAAAAGACTTGACACAATCTCATAGGAATAGAATTGATAACATGGATTTTTTTTAAAAAACTGCAATAAAAACAAGACTTGGAGGATTTACAAACTTCATCACAGTAAGAGTAACCATAGTACAGTCACATTGTGGTTGTGCATCTTATATTAAACATGATAAGAATATGAAAGTGAAACCAACTGTAAAAGAGAGGAAATGTATATATTCTAATTTCATTGCTCCACCTGAGGAAAGTGCAGAAGGATGGTTCTTGAAGTGGCTGAAGAATGCAGCATAAATGCATACACCAGAGATATTAAATTATTTTCATTTGTGCCAATCTAAGATGTTTTCATTCATGATTGTGACGAATTCGAGAAAAAAAAAATATTGTTGTACATTGGCAGTATTCCTTTAAATGAAAAACAGCTGAGTATTCTAAGCATGGTTACTGAGGGTTAACAGCCATGTGGCAGATGTACATCTTGATACATAACTGTTAAACCCCAAATATTTTTTGTATAATTAAATGGTATTTATTATACGTCTTGCTGGCTGGCAAGTCAATAGAAGAACCATTCAATAACACTCTTATTAGTGTTGATGAGTAAAGATCAAGGAGCTTGGAGACTCTAGATGTTCTGCAAGGACTCTGACCCATTTGGATATACAAAAGGAGCTTGGGAGTACCACTGGAACAGGCCTTTCAGTACTGCCTTATTTCTGTTTGTGATTATCTCTGAAACAAGGAAAAGTGACAGTATGCAACAATTAAAAATAAATCGGGGCAAGGTGGAGAAGCAGCTTAGTCATACTTGTTTTGATTTCTCAATAATTATTTTGTTTAGCTCTTACTGTCATAGGATACAATTTGCCCATATGACCTACATTTTACCCTCTCATATGGCAGGACACCACGATGACATTCAGTGACGTTAAATTTAAAGCCACTGAAAGGAAACATTTCTTTATAGAGTTTAGCCATTGTGATATTTTTTTCTGTCCCTGGGGGTCATTGAAAAAATTATTAGAGCTGGATGTCAAAAAGGACTGTATAATTTTTTGACTACTAATAACATTTGTGGCTATGTAATCAAAGCTAATGATATGGTAGTCAATCCAGGGATCAGCTGATTGCCTGCAGGGGTCAGAAATGAATGTCTGCCCATTTGCAGTATTGTGCAACTAACTGGATGCCTTAAAGAGGTGTTCACATCTTTCTGTAGCATTAGTTACTAGCCACTATAGAAAGGAGAAAAGTACAATAGCCTGAAAACTCATTTCATTCATTATGAGAAATCCTATATTTTTATTAGAAACTGGCTGAAAGAGCCATATTCAGATTTACATAAGGGCTAGGTTTCTCCCTTATGGTAATTTTTTTTTTATTATTAAATGTCAGAAAACTTCTCCATCAAATTGATTTCATTAGTCTATGAAATCTTTGCGATATTCTAATCATTTTTATGGCTTTCTAGTAATTTTTATAGGGCTAACCCTATTTCATTTCATTTGACAAGTTTAATGCCCATTACATTTTATAGAACTCTTCTATAAGAACAAAAGATGAATAAAACTGGTTTTGAGTTGAAATCTGTGAGATGTCTAGCTTTTTCTGTGGTAATTTATAGGGTACATACAAGCATTCACAGCTGGTCTGTGTTCATACTTCTTACTTTAAGCTGCTTGAACATACACTGGTAGCGGCATATACAGCCAGTTTTCTTGCAGGGAAACCAAAGTAACTAACTCAGGGCTGGGGGAGGTGAGCAGAATCAGGCCAGAGGGTGAGGTGGATTGCAGGTCCAAGAAGGCTGGCGAGTCTGCAGAGAGAAGGTGGTGAGTCTATAGGGAGGGAGGGAAGAAGAAAGAACATAGCTCCACGCCTGGGGCAAGTGCCTAGAGTTTTGCAGGCCTGGGTCTCCATTCCAAACACATACAAATGTTGGACAGTTCAAGTTCACCTATTCCCAATCCAAACTAATTCACCTTCTCAGATGAACTAACTTAGATTGGGCCCACCATTTTTGCCTGATTTAACTCCCCCAGAATGATGGGCATGTAGATCGACCTAATCCTACTTAGTCGATCTAAATAACATCTGTATGTACCCATATAGTGCAATTACTGTCACTGTCAGTCATTCTCAATACTAATATCAGCAGGCTGTTAAAAATATATAAGATGAAGTAAAATACTGCAAGAAAAACTATGATTATACTATTCAAGGGAATCAGTGAAGTGGAGGGAACCTTATAGAATAAGCAGAGTAGCTTTATATAATGAAAGGCATTGTAAGTATAATTCTGTACTGTCCGTCTTATGAAATCCAAATTAAATCCCTTTGAGATACCCAAAGGGAAAGCTTTCAAACTGAAAAGTGGGGTCCTATATCTCCATTCACCAGCTAGGAAGTATAATACCTTTTTCTGGTTGGAGGTGGAAGGGGGTGACCAGATACATTTAGTCACAAGAGTCATATTGCCTGTGAGCTCATTTTAGTACATTTGCCATTTCCTTGGGGAATGATACTGTCACGGCGGGGTCCTCGCGGAGGGCCGTGTGCTCCTTAAGGTCCCTCGCTCCGTGTCAGGCCAGCCCAAGGCACCCTCTAATTCTCGCCCGCCACGTCTTGTTGGAATGTATATATATAGTTGGGAGGCTGCCTATGACTCCCTGGGCACGGCTACTCGGGACCTCTGTCCCCGCGGTTCTCCCGGACTCCTGTGGTCACCCGGTATGATGGGTGCTCCCCAAGCACCCTAGCCTTATGGGCTATGCGTGGCTCCTACCAGCCCCTGATACCACACCCCAAGCCTCGCTGATGTGATAGACGTTGTTGGGTCTCCCAGCCCGCTTCCCGGGCCTCCTCAATAGTGTAGCCCACTCTGGGCTCTCTGTAGTACCCAGCCTCTCGCTGGGATCTGCTGCACCCCCTCGGGTTTCTAGATAAACCGATATGGCACTGCCCCTCTCTGGGGCTTGCCGTGCCCGCCTCGGGCTCCTCAGTACTGCCCCACTCTGGGGCTGGGGACTATGTACCCCGCATACAACCCGGGGTCTGTTCCCCGCCTGCAACCCACTGGTTGCGCAAGTGCCCTCTTCTGGGGCTCGTCATGCCCCCTCTGGGGTAATACAGCACTCCC